AAATAGGTTCTTTCAAGAGTAACATTTTTTGCTTTATGTCAGCCATCTCCTTCGTAATAGTCTTCCTGTAATGCTCTGAAAACAGGAGCTCTTCTTCTTGTCTTCATTTCCTGGAAGCAGCTCTTTGAAGGTGTCCAGAAATGCTCAGAAATTACAGCTGTTCTTGCAATAGTTGATCATTTTCATGAATTCGAACTTGGTGAATCTCTTCTGGACATTCTCGTAGTCGTTGTTGACTCAATTCATTGTGGTCACTTAAAAAAAGAACAAAAACAAAAAACCAGCATTTATTTAAATACCATTTCAAAAATGTCCCTTGCTGCACACTGCCAGAATGGTAGACTGGCAGACAAATGCTTGTTATAAAGTGCAATACAATTATTTCTTAATACAAGTAGCATAATAACTAAAGCTGAACAAAATTATTCTGATCAAATATTTGTCTAGCAGAAGTTCAGACAGACTGCCACTGTTGTTATTCAGATTGCATCATTTAACATATAGTTTTAGGCACATGAATGCATCTTTTTATTTAAAGAGCATTCTAAATTATTTCTAACCAGATACTCTAACTTAGGGTTGTTGCAAGAAGCTTATTAATAAATAAATAGATTTAACATCAGTTTTAGTTGTCTAAAACGTAACTTATTAACTCAGCTGGTGAATGTTGATCCCTGCTCCCCATTCCCCACTTACCTGGCTGTCCCACCCCACTTCACATGGTGAAAATATTAACACAAAAACGACTTACCTAATTTTCTTGGGGAATATTTCATCTGCTTCTTTCTCTTTGGTCAAATAGGAACTTCTTTCTCTGGTGGCTGGTCCTTATCATCATCCTCCACATCGTAGCATGTCTTCATTAGCCAACTTTGTCCTCCCCACCTGTCCTTAGGCTAGCCTGGGTCTTCACGTGGCTAAACTTGCCAAAGCAAAGAACACAAGGACCATGTCACATCAGCCAAGTCGCTAAATAATGCACATGAAGGATGGCTTTGACTAATATATTAGCTTTTAATTTGCTAGATTAAAATTGGAGGGGGAAAAAACAATTTGCCTGTCTTTAAAATATATTTAATATATTTAACGTTACAGTAATTGTGTTTAATAACTTTAACTAACATAAACTTACAGCAAGGTAGGATTGGCTTGAATTGCTTATAGCTAATATTGCAGAGAAAGAGAACATAGTCAATGTTATTTTCTCAAAGAAAATGTAAAGTTAATAAGACACATACCTCATATGTATTAGGTATCAAACTTCGGCTTCTTTTTAAACAGGAGGTCTGGCCGTTATAACTTGTTAGGTTTGCGCCACAATATGGAAGATTTCTTCTTCACCAACACAGTGCACGTCTGTTCGTGCACTGCTGCCTCTCACTGGTGGAGATGGTGTATTGCACTACTTAGCCCTTGTGTTTAGAAATGGGCTCCATACCAAACGACCCCACACACGTAAAACTTTTATCATTTGCCACAGTTCTCTACGTTTGCCTCAGTCCTCGCACGCACAAGGGTTAAAACAGCCTTGAATAATGTTTCAAATGCTAAGTTCATACGTGCTTTGTAGACATCTTGCTGTAAAACTTTAGGATCAGTTAAATTAAGAAATTAAAGAGTAAACAACATGGCAGAGCTTTATAATATTACTACATAAAGTTAATTTTTAAAGTTTAATCAGTAATGCTTTTATAACAAATTTATGTCAGATCATGATGTCTTGGTTCATTTATGACAACAGTCATAAATATTCATGAAGACTTACTGATGTTCATGACAGGTGTTATGTCATGTTTATGACAGTGTCATGACAGTCTTATTCAACCCCCTTTCAAATAAAGTGCTACCAAAGTAATTTATAATTCTTGCCGGTACTATGACAAAAATGTTTTCAATCTTTTTTTAAATCTCACCTCATCTTTTTTTTTTATGAATTCAATATCTTGTATTGTATCTTCTTATTAGTTGAATCTACTGTTTCACTACTGGTCATGATCTGTCTTTTGCTCTGGAAACTGTTTTAGATTTTTACTCTGATTGTTTCTGTTTTGTGCTTCCAGACGATGGGAATCTGCTTCCCAGTGATCCCACCAATACACAGCAGACAGAGACCTTTGAGGAAAAAGAGACATTTTCAGATAAGGGTCAGTGACACCATCTGAATAAATGTTGTTTTTCGGGATGGAGAAAAATTCAGACTTATTTCCTTCTTTACTGCAGACGACCTGGATGCGACTTGGAATGTTTTCCAGCTTGGGGATTTCCCATGGGTTCGGATTGGAATCATTGGTGGAGTTCTTCTGATCACAGCCGTGGTTCTGTGTGTTCTCAGAGCTCTGCACCATATTTAGTTCACAGGAAGGGACATGGATCACCGCTTACAATCTTCAGTTTAGTTAGGGATGAATCAGTAGAACAGTGGCCACGGCAACCAACATAGCATCTGCATGGAAATATTTGGGAACTGCAGAAATGGTTGTGTGGAATTTCTGAAACAGATCGCTCTGTCCTTGTAGGTCAGCCAACAAAGCAGAAATCAGCAGATTGCTGTTTGGGATGGACTGCATGTTCACGATTACAAGTTCTAATTCTTCTAACAATAGATGGTGATATAACAGCTTCTCAATGAAGAGAGTGGAGAAGTCCCAGATGATCTAGAAGATCTGGATGATGTGGTGTGTGGCTGCTTTGTGACACAGCTGTGATTAAAATAAATGAAAATCTTTTGTTACAATTGTTCTGATGAATTCTTTGAAGTTGCTCATTTCAACTCCTCCCAATGTACTTATCACCTTCAATGCAGTTTGAAAGTTTTGTGTATTTAAAACAATTTATGAAACTAACAGGCGGTAAGAACCATGCGAGTATTGGTGTTTTTTCGGGATAGTAAAGTAGTGACAGCTAAGCACAATTACCAGACACAATTTTCACATCTTTATTTGGAAGAACTATAAATCATTTTGATTATTAATGGACATACTAAAATAAAGACAGCTTAACAGTGGAATCACTTCATTCTATTTTACACAAACCTGTGAAGGTTTATCTGCCATGAGGATTTAAAGATCATTTTAGAGGTGCCATTGAAGTTACACTGTAAAACATTAACAGTGATATTTAGGATTATTTTGCCAGTGTGACAATCCCCTCCTGTCCAGTAGGTAAGGTCATTTTATTTATATAGCACATTTTCAGCAACAAGGCAATTCAAAGAGCTTTACATGAGTTAAAAGGAAATACAAACAAAATAACAAACAAAAGGAAGGAAAGAAAGAAGGAGAGAATCTAATGTTGATCTAAAGTGTAAACTAGGAGCTCCTGTTCAGGGTTGCTGAGTATCCTCTGGTATAATTCCATTTCTGGGTTGGGAGAACAGGAGTCTGAAAAATAGGTGTCTCTAGTCCACTATGTGTTTTTTCTTGTTTCTTTTCAGGAAGCAGGTCGATGGCTGTTAATTGAACACACCGGCAGCTGATAAATACTGACATATAGTCAGTCACCGGTCTGCTTGATTGCCCTCCGGACCAGGCCGGAACAAGCAGCATTGGTCCACACGTCTCCCTGACTGGCTGTGCAGTTCTCCCTGAGCATATTTTTGTACGAAATAAATTATTGTTTCTATAGACCCACTCGTCTGTCTCCCATTTTTGTCATTTTTGAGCTGGGTGTGACACCTGTCAGAGAAAAAAATCTGGGAGTTTACTTTTCAAAGTTATTTGGGTAACACTTTATTTGAAGGGGGTTGAATAAGGGTGCACAGTGGCGCAGAGCTGTTGCCTTGC